CAAGCTATTTATGAAATGGATGGAAATAATACCCAATCTTTTTGTTACTTTTTATGCGAGTGATTCCTTTTTGACTACACACTTACCCCCTTATTAATAAACGAAGACTACGCTTGGATTAGTTATCCATGTTTTGTCACTGTATATTGAATGACAAATGGCCTTTGGGTGATATGAACAAAACACGGCGTAAAAAGTGTAAGCTTATTCCTTGTATATTAAAAAGGGGTCTATTGGGGGTATAGTGTAACAAGGGGCACAATGTAACATAGGGAATATAAATGCCCTTTCTGCAATTGTGTCTATCTTAACGTGTTTTATTAGTTTCATATGCCGCCATCTTAAGCAGCTGTCATGAGATGTCAAATGGCATGGTATAATACAGAGATATTCCTTAAGTTACATTATGCCCCTTGATACACTGTCACTAACTTGACCCGACAATAAAATAACACGTTATACAACCTTCATCAAATTACGTACTGTGCCTATATATTTGCAATTTCATTCCTTTTCTGACAAGGTGTAAAAGGGTTCGGATCAGTTGGTACACCATCATGCATAACATTATAGAAGTGCTTTTAGACATGTTTTGACTGGCGACAAGGGAACTCTTCTCCCAATACCGCCTACGAATAAACCATCTTTCGTAAACATACATTTATCCCAAATAAACAATATCCAAGCTCTCGAACTTTTTGAAATTCTACATTCTCAATGGGAATTCAAATTATCTTCTCTTCTGTTTAAAATCTGGTTTTGTAAATACATTTTTATTTCTGAATTTCGTTTAATAGTCATAAAGAGCTATATTCTGACCTGATTCTCTTAATCTAAAACAAAGGTTGACATTAGTGCATTCTTATCATGCGCTAGAGACAATGATAAGGATACACTATGAAAAGAAAGTCTTTTGCGAATTTTATTTAAACATTAGAGAATCGTATGGGAATCTGAACCGTTACGTGTGAGTAAGTTATAATAATCGTTGTATTTTGATTAGGTTTGTGGCTGCTGCAATATATTTATTTATATAAAGAAGCTAGGTACGCAACAGGTTCCTACATACTCGTTCCTACATAAATTTCTTTGTCTAGACCCAGATTCCATGATTATTGAGCATAAGAATTCATTTGTATACATAACACATAACCGTAGAAACATATTGCGTTAACCAAAACAAAATACTGTCGACACACAGAGAACACACAAATCAGTTTTGGCAAATATGCCGCACGCGCTTTCTGACAGCTCATAAAACATCTTCTCGTCTCAGTTTTATCTGGCAAATAATGTGCCGTTGTAGCAAACAAGCGGTTCTGAAAACAATGGCAAGGTCGCCACCAGCGTAGAAAGGTCGCATTTAAAATTAGCTCGGTAGTTAACAAAAACAATAAGTACTCGGTTTTTCTGATGGGTCTTACGCAATTGTATGGGAAACAAAATATCAACGCCTTAAAAGTATTGCCCAATTTTTTATAAAACGGTTTTTGATTTTTTTTCTTTTTTAACGTTAGCAGAGGAATTCGCCTCCTGATGTGGTCAAGCCGGACAGTTGCATCAACATATAATATATATGCAAGAACATATTACTCGTAACTTTGAATAATCTCGGTTTATGGGAATATCGTAACCGCATTCATAATTCAGGATCCTTCCTCTAATATTCAAATTATGAAAAAGTTCAGTCCTCATTTAGATTTACTAGCTAATTATATGGGTTCATTAAACGACGAAAAATGTACAAAAAACTAGTAGTTAGTCAGAAAATCATTCTAATTAGCCAGTGGTTGTAACGTCATGTTTGATAAATCACATCATAAACAGTCACTCCAATTGGTCCGTTGAGGCCACACTTTGTATGTGGGTACTAAATCGAAAATTTCGATACACAGTAAATGGTGCAACAAGGGAACATTCTTTCAAAGCAGCAGCGATCGCTTTTTGTTTGGTAACAAACAATGGTGTAATGTTTCTGTCTGTTCCACTTGTGTCACGCTGGGAAGAAAGATCGACGGACGGTGTAGCGGAAGCCTATTGTGTGGTGATGCACTGACCAGCAGTGCTATTCTGTAAAATTTTCACGCGCGGATTCGATGTGGTTCCGCGCGAATCTGTATGGGAAACGCGAACATGAAAATTTTACAAAATAGCACTGCAGTGCAGTTCCGTTTCCAATCAAATGTCTTCCAAATGCGAACAATCTGTCACAGGATACAGATTACTAAGAGCCAATAGAAAAAAAAAACAATATTTTCCATCACAATCAATTTTTGCTTACGGTCGAAACGAATGTTAATAGATAATTCTTGTAACTATAGAAGTGATAACTTCTTATGGGAAGGTAAACCGCTTCGTTACGTAACGCGTTAAGGCGCCAGTCTGTCTGGCTTCCCTTCCTGTCATGCATACGGTAGCGGTAGGAAGGCTCCTCTTCTCTCACTCTGACCCGCAGCGCCGCTTAGATTAGTTTAAGTTATAACTTCTGTCGTGCGTTTCGATACGCACACGCTTTTTTTTTTAAATAAACCCCAATCTATTTACGATATAAACTTCGAATACAGTGTAAATAAATTAAAGCAAAAACTAAAATCTAACTCCGAATATAAACTTAATGTTTCAAATCGGTGAGTGTTAATTTTAAAACTTAGTTTCATAATTAAATATTTTCGACAATATATATTTCGGATATGAAAATAAACGATTTCTTTCCTACTAATTGCATACGTAAATGCTGCAAATGGTTCAACATAATATTCTGAAGCTAAGCTGAAGCAAAAACTCTTTTTCTGTTGCGAAATTTAGTATCCGTCGGTCACTGCCAGATTCATTAAATCTTAGGAGCGCTACTGAGCTCAACTCTCATTATGATGTTCGTAATATTTTTGCTAATGGCCCAGTAATTAAAAAGATTAAGCCTATTAGCTACCGTGGTTCAGTCAAGTAATCAATATTTCTATTAAGTAAAATAACATCTTTTGTTTTTCCATATTGCGCATCTTTTAATATACCTTCACGGCATTATTATCTTTTCCTATTTCGTAGAGCATTAAAAATGGCAACCTTAGATAACTATGCACATATTTGTTACTTCCACTTTTACAAATAAATGTTATAATAAATCGTAAACTACTGTGCTAGGGTATTAGCAGCTGATGTACAGTAATTTTTACTTCTGCTCCAAGTTCACTAGGCACGTCTTGATAAATTCAAATGTTTCAATACGTATGAATAAAAGTGCGAGATTCTTAAACATTATGACTTACACCCTTATTATTCGTAAAATGTCACACCTGACTTCTCACTTCTCTAACCGACAAATAAATATTAGAAATAATGTTACTTTGCTCATTATATAATGTGGGATTCACATAACTAACAATAGATACTAGTGCAATTTCACTTAAGACATTCTCACATTTTTACGTCCACGCAATATAAGTATTAAAATCTTTCCACTGCTTATAGCAAATTATTTAAATTCTTGTATTTTTTTAATTTCTTCCTACTCTTTGTTCTTTGAATTTTTATAAATGGAGAGGCAATTTGTCACGTCGCGCCGTTTAAGAACGGTACATTATTTTATGAATCGTGATGTTCAAGGCAACTGATATTATCATGGTCGCTCTTTGGACCTTTTCCGACTATCTTATTAGTGAGAAATTTTAATCGAGACGTTTTCCCGGTTTTTTCTTTGGTGGCTTAGAAATTTTGAGCTGTAAATTAAAGGTCTCACTTGCAGCATCTCTGCAGATTTTTAACATTGACTTCTTCGTGTCTTGGACTATTTATCCCTTATTAATAAACGAGGAATAAGATTAGACTAGCTAGGATGTGTTTTGTTCATATCACTCAAATGACATATATCATTTAATGGCAAATGACAAAACATGGAGTAACTAATTCAAGCTTATTCTTACTTTATTAATTATTTTTTGTTATCTACTAAGCAAGTTAACAATGCTTTGAATAAAAAACTCTATTTCGGAACTCATTTGCATCTTCACTTTTGATTTTGGTTCTTTAACGCTGAGGCTTTATATTATTGAAATTTTATCTATTTTGATCCGTATCGTAAACTGATTATTTTTTCAAAGCATTCTTAACACTTGTAGTTGGTAGTATCTTTAAAGACATTAAACAACAAAATTTAACACGAAGAATTTAAGAGGATTTTTTTAACATTTCTTTCCTTATTCTGTATAATTCAAATTTGCGTAATGTTCGTTACTTTATAATAATAAAAACTATAGTTAACAACGCTGAGTAGATTTTTAAATGTATAAAACTTTTTTTAGATATTAAAATGTAGCTGTTTAATGCCTAAATGAGAATTTAATTTACAAACGATCAGTTATAATAAAATACATAGATTGTTGTTAAGTTTTACTTACTTACTGCTGCGGCGCAACGATCCAAAGTGGATCTTACCCTCCGACACAAGATGACGCCATGCTCTGCGATCCCGGGCTAGGTCCCGCCAGCCGTCGGCACCCAAAGACTGCAAGTCCCTCTGCACCTCGTCACTCCAGCACGGTACCTGAGACGTCCAACGGGCCGTCGTCCTATCGGTCGCCCCAAATACGACCTTTTCACGGCTCGATCCTCTCCCATTCTCTCTACATGCCCGAGTCAGCGAAGTTTTCGCAGATAGTAAATATCTCTAATAGATACGAAGTATTTTTTATAACTGTGCAACCTAGACAAAAGATATTTACTATGAATGTCTTCCTTTGACAGTACTCCACCCAGGTTATATTTTTAAAGGTTTATTCAGACAGTGTGCGTGGTGGGACGGCAACTTGACATTGGCGCAATATAAACAGTTGAAATGTATCAGTTCTTATGAAATACGTCACACAGCGCCGCACGCCGGCCACGACGGCGCTGTGCAATCTATGCAATCCAAGTTCGCGTTGCCGTCCCTCCCCCCCGCTGTCTGTCTGAAAATTGACTGCCTTATTCAGAGCAGCATGTATGATACTTTCATATTTTTACAGGCAAACGAAGCAGACCGGGTAGCGAACAGTGCGAACAATCCGAAAGGCGAGATGTGGGCGGCGGGGCCCCCGTAAGGTCCCGCCGAGAGATGGGCTCCAACATCAGCCAGCATTCCGCCAAGGGGCTTAAAGGGAGGCGCGCGCGATCCAGCGGGGACCTGTGTAATGGCGACTCTAAGAGCCAGACCGAGTCGTCGGTCTGCGGCTCTGTGGTCGGTGACGTCATGGGCTGGAACAGGTCCTTGCCCAACCATCTGGACGGCAACCGCCACCTAGCGGATTACAGCCGCGTCAATAACAACTACGGCGACTTCGGTACTTACAATCGCTGCCATCCGAAGGGCGGGAGAGGTCTGCGGTACAGAGTTTCCAAGTCTGGTGAGTTTTAGTTTATTAGACGTCATTTCACTCTTTTGCGAAAATTTGCCGATTCCTTCACATTTATGAACATGTTCTGAAATTAATGTAACTATTGCTTAGCCCGCGTTGTCGTGGAAACGGAAAATATTCTCGATAGCGCGACAGTGTATTGTTACAGCCGTATTGTTCGAGTATACACATCAAAAAAGAATCAGCAACATGCATCAATAACGCAAACTGCAAGACTTATCAGTTAATATTTTTTATTATTGTTATGAGATGTTAAATTTATTCAAACGTTTTCTTGCTAGTCAGTAATCAATCAAATTAATTAAATAAGGATTTAAAATCGGTCAAGAGTTTAATAAAGTTAATGTAGCTTAGACTCTTTTGATGAGTATACTTAATACGATTCAACTTTTCATAAACGTGTACTTTTATTTTGTGATAATTGAAATACTGGTTTTTTTGAGTTTTTTTTTTGAGTGTGTATGCTGTTGGTTGCAGATGACCTTTACATACTGGTACTGAAGTGAGGAAAAAATGTATGTAACTTTTATACAGTTTTTTTTTCTCCAAACTTTGATTTCCTTGTTTCGTTTTCCCGCAAAAAAAAAGAAAAATCAAACCAATTAAACAGTTCGTAAAGAAGCAAATTTATCAAGACCACGCCTGCTTGGCCCGAGTGAAATATTTTAAACGTTAAAGCGTCCAAAGTAAGTAATAAGTCAAAAACCTTATAACGAAAACTTCACCGCGTTTATTTTATGAGTTTTAACCCCAGAAAGTGGAGCAAGAGTGGCGGTATACAAAATTAATGACCAGACTTCACCTTAATTGAAATCTCTTTAAGACGTAGATTAGTTGTGAATTCAATTAACAAGCGTTTTGTTCAATATTATTATACTTAGGTACACAAGTTAATAACGAAAATGTTTGATTTTGGTAATCAATACAACCTCGTCTTTGCACGTTATTAGCTGTGTATCACTTTAGAATTTCCACATGCTATGGATAAAAAGAACGGAAAATAATATTACTTTGCTAAATAAATATAGTAAAAAACAAACTTCCTGCAGCTTGGCACATGACATGTAATAAAGAATGCCGTAACGCATGCCACTGATTGTTAGCCAGAGTTCAGGTATTTTTAACTGTATTTAGGTTCCATGTCTCAAAATATCTCGTGGAAACTTAAAAGACTGCATTGAAAACAGTACTGTGATCTTGAGTTTTACGATTTCCAAAGTTGTAACGATTGTACTGCTTAACTCAAATTGAAACTCAGAATCATTTATTCAGTCTACGCTGTGGCAAGCTCTTGTGAACGTCAACTCTATGCATCGGTTCGTAAATCTACGATGGGAGACCTTGTACTGAGAAGAACCGCCAAGAAACTCAACAAAGGTTATTTTTTTCCCCCTGTTTTATTTCGTACAGAAATGTCAATTGAAAGATAATATCAAAACTTGAAAACATCTACTTATGTCAAGTTGCATTACATTCTTAAAAATTAGCTACAAATACATTTATTTAATTAATAAAGCGTAAAATAAACAATTTTCAACAAATTATATCAAAGAAAATTATAGCAAAGAAAATTCAGCCTTATAAAATAAAGCTATAGGTGCTTTATCATTTATGTAATCTTTAACAGTGTAAAATAGTAGTAGTGTAGAAGGATAATAAGGATTATTATCCTTCTAAAGGAGGCAACTTTTAATATAAATTTTATGAATATATAATATTTTATCTCTCCCGCCCCCTCTAAAATCTTAAACTATTGGCTTGAAAACCCTGAAAAAATTCATAATAGTGCTTTTCATGCACTTTTAAAGAAAATTATAACGATTATAATATATTTGTTAGTTTAAGAGAAGTCGTTCAACTTTGGTTTAAGAAAATTTTTTGTCTATTAAAAATTCCTTAGAAGAAAACATTATAAGGAACATAGATGAAGTTATTGTAGCGTAAACCCTAGTATTGCAACAAAATCTAAAAAAAACTATTTAAAAACCACAATAAAATATTATTAGATCCACAACGCTACCGCGAGTACCAACGGCAACGACTTCTGAGTCGCGCTGAAGTTGCGTTTTTTATAAAAAGTATATACGTACTTGAAAAGATCGGCAGTTATACCGCATCATCCCCTTCTCATGGGATGATCACTTCAAATGAAGCTTTAGCGTCAGTAAGAGTTTGACATAACCTTGCAGCCGGCTGTAGGGTATCTATAAGGATTTCATAACCGCTCCCCCACTTGGGAGGAAACAAAAAAAAACGGCGGTTATCATTCGTATTTAAAAAAATAATAATATCGAATTGATTTTGAGTTCGAGTTGCTGTATTTGAGATACATAGATTGATATTGTTTTTTCTAATTTCCGATACAGATAATAAAGACTCCTGCTCAAATATGTATTTTAGTAACAACAGGCAACTACGGAACCCTACACTGCGCATGGCACGAATTGCACTCGGCCGGTATTTTGAAGGATAAAAACTGACTCAATGTCAGCCATACGACATAATACTACTTTCATAGCGTTAAATTAAAAACGAAGGGAACAATTTATTCAGGCGAAACATCACTCAAGCCCATGTTTATTTAAATAAACATTTCATCATAATCAGCCTCATGATGCCTGTAAGCTTCTCCCTACTGCTAGTACAATAGTTTGATAAAAGATGGAAAGTTACAAAAGAAATTTTATCAAGAGAGGTAAGTCATAGCGTATTTCCGCTCAAATTGGAGCGCCCGTCCGGGGAAGTCACGAGGTCAGTAGATCTTTCACAGAAAAAATAACACCACCAAGTAAGTTTCTAGGCCTAAGGTATTACGTGTGTTTTGATTTATGTTTAGAGATTTTTCGTCACGTTTTTCGAAGCGGTTTTCATAGGAATGAAGAAATTAAATAAGAAAATGCCACAGTCAACAGTGTCCAAATTCATTTGGTGCAAATATAATTAAAGAATGTGATTTTAATCAAATTTTTAAGGTTTTTGTCATTCTCTTTACACACTTTAAATATTTGTACGTAAAACTGATTATGTTTCGCGCAATGTGTGCGCGACTCTAATGTCAGATTGTACTAAAGCAGTCAATGAGTGCGTGTGTAGCGACAAGCATGTCTACCATATGTAGTAGATGTTTTTTTTGCCGCTTCCATTTAGTAAATACTGAATCTAGAGTGTATATAATCAAAGTATACACATTCGTTGCATCTTAAGCCTATAATATAAGAAAATTTTATTGAGATCATACATGAATTCTATTATAAACGGACGATTGTTTTCATTAAATACGTAACGTAAAACATTTCCGGCACTTAATAAGGTAGTACGAAGCACGCCGGGTCAACTGGTTATGCTAATAAAAAATTCGGCCAAAAAGCTTTACGCAATTTCATATTTATTAGGGAACGTAAGTAAATGCACCTTAAATCTATTTGTCATATTTTGGGAGTAAAGATATTTTAATGTATTACGATCAGTCTAAGAAACAATAACAAAGGGGATCTTCTGAGAGGTGTCTTATAAATAATGCATTTACATTTCTACGTATAAGTACTTTTATCCTCCGCCCGGTCCGCTAGTTGTTTTGTTTGTAACGTGTTCTGTCCATCATTTTTCTATTTTTCTCCGGTTTTAAAACATAATATTTCCTGTGTTATAGACGACTGTAAATTCGAGCTGAAGTTAATCTCTTTTCGAGCTCACTAATGTAATTTCCAGACATTTTATTTAGCCTTTGATTATTTACTCTCTTTAGCTTATGAAATTCCTTCATATTGACCGTTTGTTCTGCTTTTCAGTTGAAATTGCAAAAAAAATCTATGTTCATATGTATGTCAAATAAATTTGGGCAATAAATTCACTCACGTTTCGTATATTCGGATCTGTTCTCGCTGATCAACCCCATTTTTCACAAGCGCTCGATAGCTCGAATAAATTCGTTGTCCAATCCATAATGAGAGACATCGACAAAGAATAGAAAGTGATTTTGATGAAAAGGCTAGTTGACCCTTTTTGGAAAAATGTTTTAAATGGTTAATAAATGTTTATTAGACCGAAAAAAAAATGTATTGTTTTTTTGAGACCTAGAAAGCTACAAATCTTTAATTTTAAAATAGACTTTTCATGGACATACAAAAACGCTGTCGGCCATTTTAGTCTATAGATTATCTATGCTTTGACGTCAACCTGTAGTAAACAAAAACTCGTAAGCACGTAGAAAATAACTTATCTGAGTTTATAATAAAAGAAAAACATGATTTCTAATAAATACCACGAAAAATAAAGTAATTATCATTATTGTATTGTACGAGAATATAAAGACTTGACCTTGAAGACTCTAGGAAAGTTGTGGATTAAAGTGCCGAAAGAAATTAACCTATGCAACTTTATTACACTTATTTATATGTTGTATCGGTTGTATGTTTATTACTACATTGTAATACTAAATGCACTGTACTTACATAGATGCCTTGTCATTTCTCTGCTCCGCAGAGCAAAAATCGAAGTTTAGCGCAAAAAATTCACCAACCGTCATTGCGTCAATTCTTGGCAGATTTGTGCTTTCTGCTTTCGCAAAGCCGGCATCCATAATTAGTTTTGTCAAAAAAACATTAAACGGAAACTTTTCTAAAGTTAAAAGTGTTTTAATATAAATTTAGTCAGACGAAAGAATCCACCCACAGTAACACAAGAATGACATTTAGTTGTTTACGACAACAAGAGACGTCACAATCATGGCGGATGTGGCGAACAGCGTTTTTAGTGTTTAAAAAATATAGACTAAAAAATATTTGTTTAAATTAAATTTCTACAGCAATCTTCTGCTTTTATGAAGTGAAATCGATATATTTAGGTTCCTTAGACCAAATACTTTAAGAAATAAACATTTATTTAATACAATTCGACATGAGTCAATTAGCCTATTTTCCGATCGCTTGTGATGCATAAGTGTCTATCGAATGGTTACAGAGACCCAAGCATTTTGACATCTCCGTAAT